TTTTTTTTTTTGAGATAGGGTCACACGATCTATTTGCCCAGGCTGGCTTTGAACCGTGATCTTCCTACTCTCTGCCCCCTGAGTAACTAGGATTACAGAAATGAGTCACCGGCACCCGACGATTCTTTTTTTTTTTTTTTTAATTTAAGCCTTTAGTCAGCTTAAGCAATGGTATTGTATCAATGAAATCATTGTTTGATTGCTAATAATATTTTGTCAATATGCATTGAAATACACTGTGACTATAGGAACGACATCTACCTGTGGTTATACCTGAATTGTCCTCCCAAAAGTTGTGTGTCTAAATTGCAATCGCCAGTGTCTGTGAATAGGAATTTATTTGGAAATAGGGTCTTTTCAGATGTGATTTAGTTAAGATGAGGTAACGTGGGCTAGAGTAAGGCCTGATCCAATGACTGGAGTCTTGAGAAGCAGAAGGAGAGGCCAGGCATGGTGGTGCATGCTTGAAATCCCAGTGAGTCTCAAGGCAGAGATTGGGAATATTGCTGTTCCAGGCCAGCTAGGGGGAAAAAATAAGCAAGATCCCATCACAGCCTACAAGCTGGGGATGCTGGTCCCATCTATGCAGGAGGCAGAGGCAGGAAGATCACAGTCTGAAGCCAGCCTGGGCAAAAATGCAAGACTCTACCAGAAAAATAACAAAAGAAAAAGGTCTGGTGACATGGCTCAGATGGTAGAGCACCTGCCTAGCAAATGCAAGGCCCTTAGTTCAAACTCCAGGACCACCAAAAATACTGGCAGATACTGGAGCAATGCATCTACAGCCAAAGAATGCTAAGGATTGTGGGTGACTCCAGAAACATGGGAGAGAGAGGCAAGGAAGGCTTCTCCCCTACAGCCCTGAGAGGCTGCACGGTGCTGCCGCCACCTTGATGTCAGGCTGGTGGCCTCCAGAACCAGGGCAGGATATATTGCTACCGTTTTAAGCCACCTGGTTTGCCATAATTTCTGCAGTCCTAGGAAATCAATACACACCTCTTCTGCCTAAGTCCTGCCCTGTCCCACCAGTGGGACATGTTTTACACTAAGGGACTGGCAGCTGAGTGCTCTGCGAAAGTAATGAGATGATGACCCAACACTGATAGTCATTTTCACACTCAGTGACCATGTTGGTGTCGCTCCCACTTACAAATGTGAGGAAAGTGCCATGTTTGTTAGGTTTGAACAGAGCCATTGTACCAGGTTTTTTTGTTTGTTTGGTTGGTTGGTTGGTTTTTGTGGTACTGGGGCTTGAACTCAAAACTTCACACTTGCTAGGCAGGCGCTCTACCGCTTGAGTCACTCTGTCAGCCTACAACATGAACTTTAATGCATCTTCTGTGCAACTGTAGCTTCACTGCTAACACTGGTTCAAGGGTGTACTCAATAAATATTTCTAGAACCCTTCTTCTATGCCATGCTCCATGACAGACACTGTTGTTGCTCCCTTATGGGTACCAAGCACCTGCCATTTGGAACACAGAAAGAATCGGTCCTGCACTCTCAGAACTTCCTGAGAAAGGAAACGAAAGGCTGCCTTATTGCTTACTGGGTTCAGAATGGGGCTGGCACATAGTACGTGCTCAATAAACACAAGTTTTCCTTCCTCTCACTCCATTGAGGCTCCATGGCCGACTCCTTTCTAGACTCTTCATTCTGATGGCTTCTGACCCAAAGAGAAGAGATGCAGTGAAGCCATCAAGGTGAAGGTGCAGAGCCCCAACTTCCTGAAGACATCTTGCGGGGCTTCCTTAGCCACATAGCATGCTGCACAAGCCTGTCTAACCTCAGGTTGCTCAGCTTCCTGTGTCCAAGTGACCAAAGCAGAGTGGTCCAACTTGATTGCAGCCTCCAGTCTGCAAAACGCTGCACTTCAGTCGATGGCCTTTTAAAAGAAATAGCTCAACTGGGATTTAATTCACTCACTTAGGGGAACAATCCAATGCCTTTTGCTGTTCGTACCCCAACCAATTGTAGAATTATTTCCATCACCTCAAATCGCATACCCCTTAGCTATTACCCTTCGCCCGCAAGCAACCACTGATCTCCTTTGTGTCTCTGTAGATTTGTCTGCCCCCGACGTTTCCTATAAATAGAACCGTTTAATAGGTGATCTTTGTGGCTGGTTTCTTCTACTTAGAATAGTATTTCAAAGTTCATTCTACTGTAGCATGTATCAATAGTTCACTTTCTATGTTCAAAAACTATTCCATTGTATAGATATACCATTATTTAAAATCATTCCTCAGTTGCCAGGCATTTGGGTTGTTACCATCTGTTGGCTCTTATGAAAGAATGCTGCTGTAAGCATTTATGGACAAGTTTTTTGTGCAGACATATGTTTTCATTTCTTTGCGGTATATACCTAGGAGTGCAATGGCTAGATCATGTTGTAATTTAATTTTAACTATTTCAGGAAGTACCAGGCTGTTTTCCAAAGGGGCTGTATCATTTTTTATTCTTACCAGCCTTGTGTAAGTTATAATTTCTCTATAGCACTTGATATCATCTCACTTTTTTCTTTTTTGCAGCACTGGGGATCGAACCCAGGGCTTTAAGCATGCTAGACAAAATACCACTGAGCTATGTTCCCTTGCCCTTGGCTTTTTAGCGAGGGTGCAGCAGTGCCCTACTGTGGCTTTGATTTAATTTGACTAATCATGTAGAATCCCTTTTGTGTGCCTATTGGCTAATAGTATATCTCTCTGAGAAATGTCTATTTGATGCCTTTGTCCTTTTTTTATATTGGGTTGTCTTTTTATTATTGGGTTGTAATAATCTTTAATACACTTTTGACACAAGTTCCTTAGCAGATATATGACTTTCAAATAGTTTCTTCCAATTTGTGCCTTGTCCTTTTACTTTCTTCCTGGTGTCCTTTGAAGCACAAATGTTTTTAGTTTTGATGAAATTCAAATATCTACTTTTTGTTGCTCATGCTTCTGGTGGTACTGGGGTTTGAACTCAGTGCTTAATGCTTGCTAGGTAGGTTTTCTTCTCTTGAGTCACCTCACCAGCCCCTAAGTAATTTTTTTTTTTTTTGGTAAGGATTTCTGTATCCATATAAGTAAGAGATGTTTGTCTGTAGTTCTCTTTTCTTTTGATGTCTGTCTAGTTTTTGTATCTGGGTAATACTAGTAATATAGAACAATGGAAAAGCATTCCTCTCTCTTTTTGTGGTGTGAGGGGGAGAATTTGTGAAGAATTGGTGTCATTTTTTTCTTTAGCTGTTTTGTAGAACTCACCGAAAAGTCATTTGGGTTTGGGCTTTCTTTGTGGGTAGTTTTTTTTTTTTCTTAATTACTAATTCAATCACTTTACTTTCTATAGGTCTATTCGTGCTGTCCATTTCTTTGTGAATCAGTTTTCATTAGTTTTCCCATTTTGTTCAAGTTATGTAATTCCCTGGGATGCAATCACCCATAGTATTCTTTAATAATCTTTGTTATTTCTGTAAGTTTGGTTGTAATGTTCTTTTTTTTTTTTATTCCTGATTCTAGTGATGAATCCCCTATCATATTTTGTTTGTCAAATTAGCCAAAGATTTGTTAATTTTGTCCATCTTTTTCAAATAACTAGTTTTAGGTATCATTGATTCTTTTTCCTCATTTTTCTATTCTCTATTAACTTAATTGCTACTCAAATTTTTTCCTTCCTTCTGTTTGCTTTAAATCTAAAGTCTGCTTTTCTAGTGTCTTAAGATGAAAGCTTATTAATTTGAGATCATTCTTCCTTTAAAATGTAAATATTTATAATTACAAATTTACCTCTAAGCATGGCATTAGCTGTATCACATCTGAAATGGCTTTTTTTCCTAGGCAAGCACCACAGGAGTCCCCAGCTGTGAGATGGTTTACTAGCTCTCCTAGTAAAATCGAGTCTTTGATTTTCAGTACCTTCATTTTGGTAGGAATCTAGAGATGGAAAGGACATTCAGATCTTGTGGCCCTAACTGTGTTTCCCTACGGCCAATCTGAGGAAGCATTGGCTTTTGTTACTCATTGCATTTTCTTTTGGGATATGAAGACCTGCTTTGATGATGTTTAATGTAATTATTGATTGAGCTTTGCAAACATGATCTTGTCTAGAGTGAGAGGGCAGACTAGGATGGTTTTCTTTCTCTTTCTATCCGTATATGTTCTCTGGACCTTTCTCTTTCTCTGTCTGTCTGTCTCTCTCTCAAACACACACACACACACACACACACACACACACATACATACACACAAACCATTTGGCCACATAGACAGTTCAACGGGCTGTAAGGTTAAGCTTTAAAAGTACAGAAAGTCCTGATGTGCTTGGAGAAGCCAATGATGAGGTTGAGAGACTTCAGGTTCCCTGAACTCTAGATTGGCCCTTTAGTTTTCAAGAGTAGGGTTTGGTTTGGGGTAAGTGGGGCTGGCAGGATGGATCAGCATTTGTGTCCTTACTTTACGGAGACTAAAAGTGGGGAGGAAGCACCCATTACACCTGTGTTATCACCCAAGCCAAAGTCATTTCTCCTAACTCTGGGACACTGTGACTCTTGCTTTATCTCTCCCAGGGATCCCGGACTGGGGAAAGGAGACAGTGATGGTGGGCAAGAAGGGAGAGGACAGAAAGATTGTGACAAACCACAAAGACTAGCAGAGGAGCAGAGCCACTGAGGGAGAAAGACTCTGGTTTGGGTTTTCTTTCCAAGTCATCAGTAACCAAGATAAGCACCTTCTCCCCTAAACATTCAAGGGCTTATCTCCCAGTTCCTAACAAAATACAATTTCACCATATTTTGATGTCTCAGTCTGCTGACAGTTCCTAACAAAATACAATTTCACCATATTTTGATGTCTCAGTCTGCTGACAGTGCTATTTGGAGTTAGGTGGTGGGTTCATCTCTCTTCTTCAACCAGCCTCACAGATAGTGGTGACCGTGTTGCTAGTGCGAGGTTTCCCAAGGCTCAGGTAGCTTCCTGGACTATTGTCTGAGCTCCTCTTCTCTGCACCCCCTTCTCATTTAGCCAAGACAACCACCACCGAAGAGTGCCCGGTGAGTCCTGTGGACATGAACTGCTTCAGCATGGACCCCTCCACCTCCGCCTTTAACCACAGGGGCTTCTTAACCGCCTCCTCCATCTACTGCAAGAGGCTGAACTCTAGAGATGGCCACCTTGGAGGAGGCCCTGCCACCACCACAAGCAGTCCCCGTTCCTGCCTCTTGTCTTCTGGAGGCTCCCCAGCACTGAGACCCCCAGCTTCCAGCCCCAAGAGAAATGGAACCTCTCTTGAAGGACACAGATGTGGTAATGTAATGCATACCCTGGCTTCCTTGTGGCTTATTGTCCTCTGCCTTGCCCAGCATGGAGGAAGGGGATTATGGCTGCTTAAATATGGGAGCACTGAGAAATTAGTTTCCACAAGCTCCTTCATGGATTTTTGCTATCCTCAAAGGCAGCCTCAATGTTTGACCACAAAGAAAATGGTATATACATATAAGAGATAGCTTTACTTCTTCATTTCAATCTGGAAACTTTCTTTTGTCTTTCCTAATTGCCCTGGCTGAAGCCTGCAGTAAAATGTTCATAGAAGTGGCTAGAGTGGACATCCTTGTCTTGCTAAGCTAAGCTGTAGCAAAATTCTAAAATCGACACTGACTCAAATGCCATAGAGAGCTTTGTTCAAGAGTCCAAGATAGGTGATCCTAGTTACTGGGTACATCTCAATGCAGGTGTCAGGCTCTGACCATTTTGTGGCTCTGCCATCCTCTACTGCCGCCATACCCCATGCATCTAGGGACAGAACAGACTGGGGGCATAACACAAGAGATAGAGCTTCTGCCTAGCAAATGCAAGACCCTGAGTTCAAACCACCAAGAAAGGGGTGGGAGCAGGAGGAATAGAGAAGGCAGAGCTGGTGGAGGAGGTGTGTATGCTTTTCTGGAGCCTGGGAGGGACACAAACCACTCTACTCCCACTCCACTGGCACAAATGCTAGTTTTGAGCACTTTTAACTGGAAGGGATTCTGGAAGCTGTAGCCCCGTGCTTAGGAAAAAGAAGCAGACTGGGGTAAAGAAGTGTCTCCTGCATAGCGGGTGACACTTGTGGGATACAAATACATGGACAGAAGAGATATGTGAAATTCTTACAGTGCTGCTTGTTGTGCCCCTCTGTCCTGCCCACCAAAGAGAGCTTGTTGAAATGCAGTATATGAAAGTGCACAGAGGATATAGGATTATAGGGACAGCTCAGAGACTGTTCTGATTGATGCTTTTCAAACTAATTTTTGAGCTTCCGTATTTCATTACTAAATAGAGGCCATGGCACAGAGTGGATAGTCTCATGAATGGGAGCTGACAGCCCAGGCTGGGATCCTAGATTAATTGCTTACTTGACTTTGTGGCTCTTTGCAAGTCTTAACATCTCTGTGCCTCAGTTTCCCCTCCTGCAAAGTTGAAATAATACTAGAAGCACCTACCTCATAGGATTGTTGGGAGGATTAAATAAGCTCACATATGTATTTAATACAAGGCCTATGGCATAGAAAGAGGTCAGTAAATTTACTGGTCTCTTGATTGCATCCCTGAAAAGGCCACAGCCATCAACTCTGCAGCTGAGAACTGCTGAAGAAAGAAGGCCAAAAGGCCAGGAAGTCTTCAGCTTGCCCCTCTGTAGCCCACTGAATTGGCTGTGTCTCCTTTGGCAAGACACATTTCTCCTCTGGCTGTGGATCGCTACACCAGTGGCTGCCACAAACTGTGCACGTGAGCTATTTGATATGATTCAAGGTCCTTCACATACTTCCGTCAAAAAGCCTCATCCATCTCGGGTAAGCACAGCCCCGACAGGCCTTCTTGGCTAAGGGCAGAGAGGCAAGCAGGGCCCCCCTGAAGGATGAAGCTCTAAAAGGAAGACAGAGCACAGATTCCTTCATCCATGGAGGAGCTTGACAAATGTAGAGGCACCTGCAGACCACTCTGCAACATTAGCAACCAGAGCAGGCAGAAGACTTCAGTGAGCAGAGCCCCATTTTCTAAGAGAGAGACATTGTTCCATCTGATATCTAAGAATAAGAGAGAGGAACAAAACCAATGTCTTAAAATAATGAGAACCAGAGTCTACGGATGCGGCTTAGTGGTAGAGTGCTTGCCTAACATGCACAAGGCCCTGGGTTCGATCCCCAACACTACAAAACAAACAAACAAAAACAAAAAGTAAATGAGTGCCAGCATTTATTTCCTCGGTTCATCCCCAGAGTCAGTATAACAGCTGGCACCATAAACATTCATCATCTCTGAGCCTCATGGTGTCCCCTGTTTGTCAACACCCTCATCCGGTGTCCCTCTGCTCTTTTCTCTCTCCCTGTCTCCTCAACCAAATTCCCATTTTCTCAGAGTGGTGATCACAGGACACCATGATGACTGAATCAAGTCCTAATCATGAGAGTTTTGCCACTTAAAAAAAAGGAGATATTTACTCTCCCTTCCTGGTATTGGTGAAACCTCTGGTCCTGTCTCTATTATTTTTTAAATTAAATTCCATTGTAATCAATTTTTTTTTCAGGACTGGGGCTTGAACTCAGGGCCTCACATTTGTTCTACCACTTGCTAAGCAGGTGCTCTACCATTCGCTAGACAGACGCTCTACCACTTGAGCCATACCTCCAGTCCTGGTCTTATATCTTAAGTGCAGAATTCCAAGCAGTAAGAAGCAGGCGCAATTGGGCTGGAAAGAACTTCTATCAGTCACTTAAGGCTTGCCAACCCCACCTAAGTCTACCTGGTAACCCTGACTTAGGAGAATCCAGGGTCCTTCAAAGGTTCTCAACGTAGCTCCTCTTTCCCCACTTGGGCCTGAAATGTCCTCCTGTGTTTTATCTTCACCCACCTATGTCCTTTGCTCTCCTGGAATTAAATTCTGGCTGAGTCATCTTCCCAGACAACCGAGGGAAAGCCCGGATGATCCTTCAGAAAGCTCTATGTGTGGGAGCCTGGCTGTCCTCCAAGGGGACCATGAGCTCAGGACTTCTATGATCAAGATCTCGGGTGAGATCAGAGAAAGAGAGCCCATCAGTGCTTGCTGCCTTTTGCTGCATGCAAACCAAAAACTGTCTCTTGCATACTGGTTGTCTTTTTTGCCACTTAGGAATATTTGCAAGCTGGGCACAGTGGCTCACACCTATAATCCTAGCTACTTGGGAGATGGACATCAGGGCGATTAAGGTACAAGACCAGCCCAGGCAAAAAAAAAGTTTCCAAGAGCCCCATCTCAATTGATAAAAGCTGGGTGGTGGCACACGCCTGTCATCCTAGCTACACATGCAACGTAAATAAGAGGATACAGGTCCAGACCAGCCCAAGCATAAATGTAGACCATGTTTGAAAAAACACCTAAAGCAAAAGGGCTGGGGGCATGGCTCAAGTAATAGAATGCCTATCTGGAAAGCTCAAGGACCTGAGTTCAAATCCCAGAAGAATCACAAAAAAAAAAAAAAGAAAGAAATATTAGGATACTCTTCCATCAGGATCATTCATCATCATCAGGACCTCCTGAGCCTGTGAGGTGTTTAAAAATCACAAATCCAACATTCTTGGAGGGAAGCTGGGAGAGGTGGTTTAATTCCAGGCAACCATGATCCCCATAGCAAGCAGGGACTCTGTTACAAAGGAAGGCATACTGGATAGACAACTGGCTGTCTCAGCATTACCTCCTGATTGGAACTGTTCATATCCTCCATTTTTCCTCCAATGGCACTTTGCTTCTTTCTCTAGAACATACTCTGTTTGGTCATGGTAGACCAGACCTTCACCTTTGTGGGGTCTCTCATTCATATCTGAATTCCCCACAGTCCCAGCAAAAGCTCATAGGAAACTTGCATTAAACTGTTATTTATTGAGCACTTATTAAGTACCACTTTCCACACATTAATATTTATTATAAGTTATATGCATATAACTTACTATTTACAAGAAATAGATACTACTATTTAAATTATTACTAAATTGAATAATTTACAGGTAAATGAGGATCAATAGGTCTTTCAGTTGTTGAGCTAGGATTTGACCTCAACTGACTCCAAAGCCTGTATCTTTCAAAATCACCCCAGGTTTGAACTATACTTAAAGGGTTTCTGAGATTGTAGAGATAGAGAAGAAAGGATGAGAGCAGACAGGACTCCAGGCCCTTTGCACCTCTCTTTAAACAGGGTCTCTTTACATTTGCAGAGTGTAAAGTGTGCTTTGCTTGAAAAATAAAACTGCAGAGCTAAAAATGTTTGGAAACCAAGTGGCTCCACCACGTTGAGTGGAGTGGTGGTATACTAAAGGTCTCACCTTCCTGCGAGCCCGTGCCCCTGCTGTGAGTCCTGTGCGGACTATTAGATTTCCTTCCCCCAAAGGATTGCTCAATATTGCTCAAAAATTGCATCCCAACTGAAGTCCGTTGGCATCAAGAAACCCTACCTCTTTCAGAGGGTTTGACCCAAGTCATAAACCCTGGAAGAGACCTAGAAATGGATTTTCTCCCTATGGTGCTAATCAAAATGGCTTAAAACCACAGAAGCCAGAAAACTGCATGAGGCCACAGGAGGAGGGTAGGTATTGATGACCTGACAGATTTTTCAGTTGCCTTCCCTCTCCTGTGGCATTTCCCCCGGCCTCCTGCTATCTTAATAGATCTACCTCTGTTGCCTGCCAGTGTGCTCTGAGGGATGTGTTCACAGGGCACAGTTCCCTGGTGTTTGCTGGTGCTCAGGTGAACATTTGAGAGCTCTTCTCTGCCTCTTGTCTAAAATATAATCACCAAGAGCTATATTTATAGAGGTTTCAGGTAACCAGCTTCCTGACTTTTGCATTTAAGAGAACAAGCTGTGGAATTTCCAACCACAGCTATGTCCAAGATCCAGAGTGGACATAAATAAATATGACATTGTTATTGCACTAATTGCTTCCTGTGGATTGGGTTTTGCTTTGATAGAGTGTGGCATTGGGTGAGGGACAGAGACAATTCAGCTAGAAAAAAGAATGAGGACAAAGCCCATTGTGAGGGTGTGGGATGCATCGGGGGTGTAGGAAGGGCTTCTTCATTCCTGGAAGAAAAGAGTCTGTGCCATGGTAGGGAGAAAAAATCACACCGGAAGATTCGGGGTCCCTGTCAGCAGGCCAGGCTTTACTCTGTGGTAATTATAAACCAGACATTTCTGAACGGGGAGTGAGCTGAGGACTGTGTAATTCATGAAGACGAATCTACCAGCCATTTTTGGAATGGTGTCTAAGAAAATGAACAGTAGGGCTGGGGATATAGCTCA